TGAACGGCGCAGCCCCGGAAACCGCCCGAGTCTCGGCCCCAACTAAACCCCGCCCCGACCCCAAAACCCGCAGATGGTCCGGAGCTGGGAGCAGGGAGTCAAAGGGGCGATCAGCACCTAACCAAAACGGGGCGGCCTCGGAGCATCTGAGTTGGAAACCAACCTAGCGTGTTGCATCAACCTAACCTAGCTAGCAACACGGATGCTGCCTGTACTCTGAACAGTAATAACATCAGGAGAGTATTGGAGAACAAGCATCCTCTCGCAAGACTCCAGGTCAAGGTGTCAGTGACCCAACAGGCAACATGATGGAGGTAAAAGTGGTGACTGTCACCCAGAGACAAGGGCACAGCAACCAATGATCCTGTACACGACGGGTTGAAACCCCGAAGACACATTCAATGGTCCACCAAGCTCCAACAAGGATTTCCAGGGCCCGTAGGGTAACAACTACGGGAAGCCCGGGCAAGGTGTTGCTAACCGGTTAAAACCCAAAAATAACAAGGGGTAGAGGACAACACTGAAAATCCCTGCGACGTGTACAATCACAGGGACCTAGCAGAGGGCCACCAAACACTACCAGTGGAACTATAGCCACACTAGGCAAACCCCCCACCAGGCAAATGAAAATAAAAACAAAAGAAAAATGCCGCAAAAGTACACCATCTCCAGAGGTAACAGGAACCGGTCGCCGCTAGGTGGCGCAACACCTTGACGCCCTAACCAGCACAATACCAGTCCCTACCCAGGGCCAAACAAGGGCCCCAAGCCCCAGCTGGCCCCAAGGGCGAGGCAAATGCCGAGCAGCAAGAACCTCTATGGGAATAGTTCCCGAACACCCCAGGGAAGATAACCCTGTCACGCAGGGGCAGTACTCACAGGACGCTTAGGGAAGGAAGCCCCTAAGCACATGCAGCCCTGGTACTGATGAGGAACATCTGGCCACCGCACAACACAACACATGGCAGTGAACGCCACACAAGGCAAACACCGCCTAGGAAACTGAGGCCAGAGAAGCGTCTATCCCGGTTGACATTAGCTTACAAACTAATGCTAGGCAGCCGGCACAGTGAGGTCCAGGGTTCCCCCTCCCTCTTTTGGGGTGGGGAGATCTGCGCGGACGATTGGCGCGGCAGTAAAGTGTGATGTAATTACCTAAGTGTAATTACCTAAGTGTAGTTACAGGATGAGAGCTACGCTCGTGGTGTCCCGTCTTCCCAGCACTCTTTGTCATATAACGCTTTGAAACTACTGACGGTCTTGGCCTCCACCACCATGTGTGCTTGTTTGCTTGTTTCCTTGGGATTGTAGGGAGTTTCTACCTCTCTATTCGGTTTTTTGTTTTAGTTTTTTACCATGTGGGGTTTGTTTTGTTATGCCTACCTTTCTGGGTGCCTAACCCCGGTCGATGGCAGATAAGGAAAACCCCAACCACAAGGGGGTTTTCCAGGGCCATTGCTCCATGAAACCTCTCTGAAGGGGCCAGGTTCTGGCGCTGGTCCTTGGTAGGTCTGAACTCCTTAGCTAATGTCCCGGTCTAATATAACATACATTAGCCCAATAAGCTCCAGGGAGTTGTAGGGGCTCCCCACAGAAAGAACCAAATCCCTGGCGAGCAGACATGCGGACTGACTGGGAGCCCACATCAGCCAGTTATTGAGGTAGGCCAGAACGCCAAAGCCGCCTGCACTCGAATATCAAGATCAGTGGATTAGGTGAATTGGAGTGTAAGCAAGGAACACCACTCGCAGGACTCTGGGTCGAAGATGTCACCGACCCAACAGGCAGCATGACGGTGGCAGAACAGGTGATTGTCACCCTGAGACAAGGGGACAGAGCAACTTTCAAACTGGTGCAACTTTCAAACTGGTTATTGGACCACTGAGCCCCAGTGGGGGGTTTCCAGGGCCCTTTGATGCTCTACTAAAGGAATCCCAAGCAAGGTACTGCTAACTGGCTCCCCAAACTACCAAGCAAACTACTAATTGCTGAGCCCCTATGACATGTACACACATGGGGACCTAGTAGAGGTCCACCAAGAATATAAATATATAAGGGTCAACAGCACCAAAGGGCAGACCCTCCACCAGGCAGAAAGCAAAAAGAAAAGAAAAACCCTGTACGAGGACATCACCACCAGGTGGAACAGAGACCTGGTACCAGTAACGAAGCTACCTCCTACCCAGAGGCAAACGGGTCTATGAAACACCCCTAGCTGACTCTAAGGGCGGGCAATCACTGAGCAGTAAAAGACCACGTTGGAGGTAGGTCTCAAGTGATTTGTGGAAGATAACCCCAAGCCACAAGGACAGTACAGTACTTATGAGGTAACCTAGGGAAGGTAACCCTAGGCGCATGCAGCCCGAGAACTGGTGAAATTACTCCTGGCTTGTACACCACCACAGGACAGGACTGTACCACAAGGCACAGTGCTTGACAAAGTCTGGAGCCAGAGTCGCACGACCAGCAGGTCTTACATCAGCCACAAAACTGGGGGTGGATAGCTGGCAGCACGGATCTGGAGCTCCCCCTTCCTCCTCTCGGGAAGGAGGGAGCTGTGCAGACAGTGGCGGGGTGTGGATTGAGACGTCATGCTCGTTTGCTCGTTTTTAGTTTGGGTTGTTCTGTCCAGCAATTCATCTTTCAGTAACAATTTTTAACCAGATAGGGTTTGTTTTGGGGTGCCTACCTTTCTGGGTGTCTGACCCGGTCGATGGCAGACATAGAATTCTTCCAACCCCACGGGGTTTCCATAGGCCAGTGATCCTCGCGCCTCTCTGAGGGGGCCAGGTTCTTACTCATGGTACCTGGTAGGCCTAAGAACTCCACTCGCTTTGACTGATGCCACTGTCTAATACATTCATATCAGTCTGGATAGCTCTGGGGGCTTCCCCAGTATACTGCCCAAGTTTGGACATTGAATCTGAAAAGCCAGAATCTGTGACTGAGCCAGCCACCAAGGAGCCAGAAAGATCACCTTGTCTGAATAAATCTCCAGCCTGGACAATACCCAGAACAGCTGAATTAGGGGGAAGAAATAGAGCAACCCCCACCTTGACTAGTCTTAGTGAATGGTATCCAGCATTGTAATTGATGAATTGAGCCACATAAGAGATTGAGAATTGAACAACATCAGCTGGTTCCATGCTGATGTGAAGAGATCCACCTCATGGTGACCAAATGTCTTTCAGAGACAATGGAAGGATGCATCACTGATGGTCCACTTCATGGAAATGAGACATCCATGACAACATTAGATATACCCCACATGTGAACCAGGAATAGAAAAAGACAAACCTTCTGAAGGGCCTGCCAAATCACCACAAACTTGTACGAAGGAGCTGGCTCGACCAACAACCCTGGGAGGCTTGGTGAGCTCTGATCACAAAACCCTAACTTAGAGTTAGGGACCAGTTAGAGTCAAAAGGGAGCCAGAGGCCCACCCTGAATCCAAGGATTGGGCCGATGCAGCCTGATAACATACAAGTCGGGCTGCAAAGTAAGTGGCCACTGCCTCCCAAAGCATGGGAGCATACAGCTTGGCAAGTGCAGGCAATGCAGATACAGCAGAAGTCAAAACCTTCGCATTTTGCCCGAAATGCTATGAGTATTAGTGGCTTTAGGTATTGTATGTACTAGCTCTATCTATAAATCCAACATTATAATTGTAACTCATCATCAATGTATGTACTTTTATCTGAATAAAAATTTGAATCTGATTTTGAATTTGAATTAGATCCTCCACCGAGAGCCTAAGTGTCCTCACAAAGCCAATTAGTATGAAGCTCAAGGAGGCCCAGAAACCGCATGAAGGTCCTCCACCACAAGTGTTGCAAACAACAATGAAAACTGGGGATGGAGCTGAATTAGACTCACATCCAAAGAAAATGAAGGAGTAAGTTGGCAATCACTGATGGGTCGCAAAAGAAAGTTCCCCAGAAGCACCTGCAACACGGTCGACACCTCATGTCACTCAAGTATGCAGGTATGACATTAGGGAACTACCTAATAAGTCAAAAGGGACCCACAGGCTCATATCAGTCCCCCATAAGCCCCAGAAGCCACACTCAAGGGCTCTGGGGATGAGCTTGCATCCATGCCCACTGCCTGGGATAGACAAGGCACTGGGGATGCTTCACAGGATGTAAAACTAAGCCAACACAGCCTGGGTTACACAGCTATGAAGACTGAAATCAACACACTGAAGGGAAGCACGTGAACCACCAGTGAGCCCTGTCACCTAAAGTCGCACCTGACCCTGGTCAAGACAGCGAAGCCACAAGACCTCCAACTCACCCTAGACGAGGGCCCCCACAAGCATGGGGACCTCTGAGGAAGCAACTCCCGAACAGTCCAGAGAATGGTAATGCAAGGGCAGTACTAGGGATCACATAGGGGGAAGGTAATCCTGAGCCCATGAAGCTGCAAGCACTCTTAAAGCCAGGCTTATGCTACACCATATTGTACAGAAAAAGCCACCAAAGGCAAACACCACACCACCTAGCTAAACAGGATCCTGCATGGAGAAAAGGCGACCTGCAAACCACTACCTCAGCAACAGAACTGATAGCACAGACCCTGGCAGGCAGAGAACTATTTCTTCCCTCCCCCAAACAAGTGACAGAGATGGGATGAGAGAATTTGATAGTTTGTTTACAGTTGGGGAAATTCATTTGGCAGGCTTCGAAGCTTCAGTCTCTTTTAAATCTAGCAGCGGTTTGTTTTGACTCGCTGACTGAATTTCCCCAGTTTCCCCAGTTGCCTTCTCTGGTGAAGTGGCAAAATGTCACTGCTCTCTGTACCCTTTCTTTGTAATGGCCCTGGTTCCCAGTAGGCCTATTGAACTGCATGGCTGATGTGATCTGGGAGATGGGAACCATTTCACTGTATAGCTTCAGGAAGGCACAGGGGGCTTTTCCCTGAAAATGTATTCATTATTCTATTATTTTATCATTCTGTTATTCATTATTCTATGTAGAAAAAACTGAATAAAACCTCACTTTATTTATGATATTGTCCATGAGGAGCAACACTGCCCCTTCCATCTTTGAAACTGTCTTCTCAACAATAGAGAATTTATTTCTACCATTTTCTTCCTCCAAAAATTCAAAGAGTTCTGGAAGACTTTCAATTTCTAACCGCACATACTCAATGTTATTTAGCCCAATGCAGATCTGAAATATCAAGAAAACTCATTTTAAATAAAAAAAAAAAATGTTGGCAAAAGGAATCAAAACATACATACATGCATGCATGCATACATACATACATACATACATACATACATCCAAAATTCATTTTTATTTCTAGTCTGACGCGACACGGGCGCGTTTCGTAAAACTTATTACATTTTCAAAGACTTTAGTTCACAAATACACAACTGAATAGAACTTACGTATCTCTGACAGGTACAAGAGGAGTGTTGTTAACGCATATGTCGACCGTGCTCTCAGCCACAGCTCAGAATGGAAGCAAGTCGACGAAGAACTCTGTAGGGTAAGGCAGGTCCTAGTCAATAACGGCTTCTCCAATGGTTTCGTCGAAGACATCATAAGAAGGAAAGTGAAAAGCCATGCAACCTCTGAAGAGACAACTAACACAACACCTATACCCCTATTAGACTATTTTACAGGAACTTCTTTTCCACAGCTCATAAAACGGAGGAAAGGGTCCTGAAAGATATTGTTAATAGAAACGTTATCCCTACAGACAAAAATCAGAGGATACAACTGACGATTTACTATAAAACCAGAAAAACGGCCAGCCTACTCATGAGAAACTCTCCAGACACAAAACAGAACGCTTTAAAAGAGACTAACGTCGTCTATGCCTTCAAATGCCCACTTGGGGACTGTAAGCTCCAAAAAACCCAGTATATAGGCAAGACAACAACATCTCTTTCTAGGCGTTTAACGATGCATAAGCAACAGGGCTCCATTAAGGAACATATAATCTCTTCCCACAACCAAACCATCGCCAGAGAAATCCTAGTAAACAACACAGAAATCATCGATAGATACAGCGATAGCAGGCGGCTTGACGTTTGCGAGGCACTACACATCAAGAAGTCAACACCAGCAATCAACAGCCAATTATTGCACAACTATATTCTACCCACCTCAAGACTCCGCTCCAATATAGAAGCATCAAGAAATATGGACCAATAGGCTTTCTACAAACACTTCTATTCAATACTCATTGTTTGTGTTCTGTCTTGTGTTGATACTTTTAATACCCTATTAATATCCCCTCTTGTTCTGTCTTGTGTTAATGCCACATCACCCCTCCCACCTCACTCAAATGTAGATATAAAATCGGAGATACGTAAGTTCTATTCAGTTGTGTATTTGTGAACTAAAGTCTTTGAAAATGTAATAAGTTTTACGAAACGCGCCCGTGTCGCGTCAGACTAGAAATAAAAATGAATTTTGGAGAATTAATTTTTGATTTACCTCCAACAGTGAAGCGTAATGTACGAAAGATTGAGAAAATTCGTGTTAGAATTATTAATCTTACATTTTCGGTCATATTTAATAATATATGTCTACAGGAAAGACTGCTACCAAAATATACTAATATATATATATATATATATATATGCGGAAAATCCACAGAGAAATATGAAATGAGGTGAACGTTTCGGCTTTGTTAAAGCCTTTGTCAACACCAGACTGACTCAGTCAGTCAGTCTGGTGTTGACAAAGGCTTTAACAAAGCCAAAACGTTCACCTCATTTCATATTTCTCTGTGGATTTTCCGCATAAAATGATCAGTGTTTTGTGATCGTCAATTGCATATATATATATATATATATATATATATATATATATATATATATTTATTTATTTATTTATTTATTTTCATGATCAATGAAAATATATTTGTAAATATATCATATAGATATGTGGAATTTAAAATAAACCAGCATTGAATGTAATGAAACGCCATTTTCTGTGTGAGCCCCGGAGGCTTCCTGGAGCTTATCGGGCTAATGTGTGTTATATTAGACCGGGACATTAGCTAAGGAGTTCAGACCTACCAGGGACTAGCACCAGAACCTGGCCCCTTCAGAGAGGTTTCAGGGAGCAATGGCCCTGGAAAATCCCCCTTGTGATTGGGGTTTTCCTTATCTGCCCTCGACCGGGGTTAGGCACCCAGAAAGGTAGGTATAACAAAAACCCCACATGGTAAAAAACTAAAACAAAAAACCGAACAGAGAGGTAGAAACTCCTACAATCCCAAGGAAACACGGAAACAAGCAAACATCACACTTTACTGCCGTGCAGCCCTCCCTGCCCCAAAAGAGGAAGTGGGGAGCCTCGGACCTACAGCGCTGGCTTCATAGCATCAGTTCGGAGGCTAAGCTTCAACCAACACGTAAAACTGCCGACCAGGGGAGGGAGGGTTGCCAGGGAGCCTCCGGGACTCACCCAGAAAATGGCGTTTCATTACATTCAACGCTGGTTTTCTGTGGGGAACCCCTACTGCTCCCTGGCGAACGCAAGCTGGAGCGGCTCCACCAGCGCCGCACAAAACGAGGCGACAGTAAGAAACATAAATTAACTGTAGTCCTGAAAACCCAAGAAAGGACAAGACAACCTGATGCGAAAGAGAAGACAACCTACGAAGAGTAAAAAAAAGTGCATAGGAATCAGGAACATCATACTGTCGACGAGACAAAGCTCGCAGGTGGGACACCGTCAACAAAGACACCTGATCACCACAGAGATGGTGATACCCGCGTCAAAATACCAGACATGAAGAGCTGAGGAGAAGGCTGAAGCAGTCACATACAGGACCGATCCAACCTGCTGAAAGAGGCGGAGCCGCGGGAAAACGCCCCGGGTTCGGACACCTATTAAGCAGCGTCTGAAAATAAAGCTGGGCTGGCCACCAAGGAACCATAAGGACTACTCTCGTGGGAATGGACTCCAACCGAGCCAGAACCCAAAGCAACAGCTGGACCGGGAGAAGAGGAACAGTTACCCCCACCTCGACCAGTCCTGCCGAAAAGCATCCACCATGAACGCCTCGTAGGCGGGTAAGAGCACCACATAAAATGGGCGACGCCTAGACCACGCCAACTTGAAGACGTCCATGGCCAGGAGTCTTTATGTCCGGCAGAGCCAACAAAACGAGTCGGAGATGACTGGCCAATCCACGAACAGAAGAATGAACCGAGAAAGCTGCCGGCCAGGACGCAGGACACACCCCGGACATGAACCTCACGGTTAGCCAAACACTGAGAGTCCAGCAAACGAGCCTCTCTAAGGAACCAACCCCAAAGGTCAACACCTAAGAGAAACCTTGTGGTTCCGACAAAGAACCACCAGAGAACAGTCCAAATGGAGCTGAATGGTAGAGCACCGAGTGAACCAAACCCTCCGAAGTGCAAACCAGACAGCCACGAACTCCCGAACCATGCTGTGAGCCCGACAGACGGACAGACCCCACCATCCCCGGCCGACCTGGTGAGTACTGGTCACAAAGCCCCAGCTGAGAGATGACCCGTCCGTGAACACATCGAGTGAAGGCTCAGGGAGGTGCATAGGACCGGAACCCCGAAAACCCCAAAGAGGAAGCTGGTGACGCAGCACCAACACAAGATCCCCAGAGGAACAAACCCAACGATTGCAAGAGAGGCAGAAGGAAAGTCTCCGAAGGAACCAAACAGATGCCGAAGTCAAACCCGACCCTGCGAGCAGACCAGCACATTGAAGTCCAGACTCCCGCACAACCACTCGAGCAACCGCCAAGCAACCCGGGACCCCCCTCATAAACAGCCAAATGTGGGACCACAGCTGCAGCAACACTTCTGGAGGGAAAAACAAGGAGCGGCCCAAGAGTCCTAAACAAGGCCCAGCCAGGTCCGAACCCGGGACGGAAACAGATGGAATGGCCTCCAGATCACCAAGAAACCAAACCTGGTGATCAGGAAAGAACCACAATCCTGGCGAGCAGACAAGCGGACCGACTGGGAGCCCAGACCAGCCAAGCTTCATACCCAAAGAGAAGGAAAAGAAAGGGCTAACTCGGGAGGCGGCTGCCACAAACTCCGCAACGCGAAGCCGAGACAACAAGCTGTAACCTGCAACCCAAGGCAACAAGAATACACAGGAGCAGATGCGCATAAAGAATGGGCGGCTAAGAAGCTGTACGACCCTCATATCCCTGCGCCCGAAATGAGCCCTAGACATCAACACAGCAGCAAAAGCTGAAAATGTCTGAACAGCATGGGCGCAAGGACAGACCACAGGCTGGAAGACTGAAAAACTCTGCGGATGACCTGGGAGACCCGAGCCCTGAAACAGGGGACGAGGGGAACCGGATCAACCCAAAGCGCATCCCCAGACACGGTACGCAGGTAACGGCAAAAAGCGCAACCGGACAACACAGGACGCACCCCCGACCAAACCAATCAAACATCAATAACCCAAGAACCACTCCGGAAAACAGCCGACTCGACCGTCACCAGGACGGAGAAAGGCTGCAAACGTACAAACCTACCAACAGTACCAAAGAGCAGAAACCTGAACCGAAGGGGCTACCACAAATTGAGAACATAAGGCACCCTAATCAAGGACCAGTACGGCTCAGGCAACGCATGAGCAGGCCGGAGGTGAAACAAAACACAAGGCAGCGTACGAAATGGGGCAGATGAGACATCCACCGCGAACGCAAGCTGGAGCGGCTCCACCAGCGCCGCACAAAACGAGGCGACAGTAAGAAACATAAATTAACTGTAGTCCTGAAAACCCAAGAAAGGACAAGACAACCTGATGCGAAAGAGAAGACAACCTACGAAGAGTAAAAAAAAAGTGCATAGGAACCAGGAACATCATACTGTCGACGAGACAAAGCTCGCAGGTGGGACACCATCAACAAAGACACCTGATCACCACAGAGATGGTGATACCCGCGTCAAAATACCAGACACAAAGAGCTGAGGAGAAGGCTGAAGCAGTCACATACAGGACCGATCCGACCTGCTGAAAGAGGCGGAGCCGCGGGAAAACGCCCCGGGTTCGGACACCTATTAAGCAGCGTCTGAAAATAAAGCTGGGCTGGCCACCAAGGAACCATAAGGACTACTCTTGTGGGAATGGACTCCAACCGAGCCAGAACCCAAAGCAACAGCTGGACCGGGAGAAGAGGAACAGTTACCCCCACCTCG